TCTTTATTTCATTATATATAAACCTTATAGCTCTAATTACAGTGATTATTTTAGCTTGTGCCAATAAGTTCTATTGGCACACTTAGCAACACTTAAAAAGATAGATTGAATTTTTATCAGTTGTTTTTATCCCTTATGATCTCTTTCAATGGTACATGCTCATTTTTTGTTAGATCACTTACCTATATCCTTAAATGTTTAGAATTCTCAAATAAATACCATCTGGTTTTTCTAATATGCTGCAATCTGTTTTCTTGAGATGATGCCTCACCTTTTAAAGATATTTTCAAAAGTACCTTTTGTTACTTGCAAATATCATTCTAGTGTCAGCTCTCTCTTTTCTTTTCACATCTTCTATAGTAAAGAAAGGATCTTTCCACGATTTTTATTGTTTTAGTGGATCAACAAGGACCTTTGGGGTGGGTATAAAAGCCTCAGAAAGAAAAGATGACAGTGACAAACACTGAGCTTTAAATGTTTCTATACATATTGTAATTAAATTTTTAAAATTTCACTGAATTACATTTGTGCAGTACAACGCAAATGATGTATACTATGTACTTTTAAAATATTTCTTTCTTGATATAGTTCACCACAAAATAGAAAAGTACTTATACATGTATATCAGAAATTTTAAAACGGGATTTTAATGACTCACATTATATGAAAGAAAAAAAGTCAAGTTAATGAGACTTAGTAAAAAGATTGAAAACAGAATTTATTGTTTATAATGGCAAAATACCTCTGCTATATTTGTATAGTTAGCACAAACTGTTCCATGTGAAGTTCTTAAATGATTTTGTAGTCAAATATTACTACCCATTTCATAGATTAAGAAAAGAGGTAGGGGTTGGTTATGAGTATGTGGGACAGATATCAAGTAACTTATTGAGTGGGAACAGATGGTAGTTTCTGTGTGATAAAGACACTCCTCCCCATACATATCAGTGACATTTTGCACAAATGTTGATAAACATAAATCTGTCTACAGATGTTAATTTAAAAGCCTCTTATATATTGTTCTAACTTTAATATGTGAATATTTTAGTATGTATATATGTGTGTATATAACACATATATATTGTTTTATATATAAAAACATTGATATTTTAAACATAAACACATACATACATACACTCACACACTAGATTCAGATAGCTTCTGATGGAACTTCACCCCTTCGTATATCTTTAAAAAGGTCCTTCTAAATGATCTTCCTTAAAAGAAAGCTTCTGGGAAATAACACAACATATTATTCAGGCAGATATAACACTTAGATTTGAAGTAAACTTGCAGTACCTAAAGAAATCTGGAAATAGTCTGTAGAAAAATCTCAAAATGTTAACATGAAATTTTTACAGAGTATGGATAAGTAAAAGAAAGTAAAACATATGTTAAGGATGGTTATATAAAATCCTGAATAGAGTATTTTCTTTGTAATTGGTTTAGACTCCAGATTGCAACTTTGACACTATGACTTAAAACTTATCAAAGAGATTTATGTTTTGCCACTGACATTTTAAATTGAAGATTTACTTGTACTGGTACCTAATATGTTTTCTGTAATTAATTCCTCTCAGGTCAGGTTTCATAGATACAGAATTCCTTTAACATTAATCTCTCCTTTAGCAATATCTTTATTGTTGGAATTAGCAGTTGAAAAAAAAAAGCTAATCTTTTTCAAATGAGGTTCCCCGTTCCAGGCATTGTTTCTTTCACCAATGCAAGACTTTCTTAAAAGTGCAAAATATTTAAAAAGTGGATGCTATGAAGCCAGTGTAAGAAAAAAAAAAAAAGCTGGAAGTTAAACAAATCATGCATTAATAAGAAATAGAAAGTTTAATTATATATATGCTTAAGGTCTTAATGAAGGGGCTGAGTAATGGAGGAACTGTTTCATTTTAAATTATTCAGGTTATCTGAATAACTGAAATTTATAAGCCTTATGTTTGTCTTTTCTATTTATTCATGAAATGTTGCATAGATTACTTGGTGGATAGCACAACTTGATGGATAATGGTGTTCAATAAATTGTTGAATGTATGACATTTTGATTGTAGCTTAATTTCTACTTTTAAGAATGAGAAGAATACATCTAAAAGTTGAGAGATAAGTAACTGAGCATATAGTGGTTCACTATACCCAATATAAAGTTTATTATGCAAGAAAAGTGTTTACTAATTAGACTTGTTTACATATTTGCAGTTGCTGTTTATGTTCTCTTTACAAAAGACAGTCTTCCTTCTTTAACATCTGTGTTGCCTTCATAATATGTATTGAACAGTTTGTATGTTTTTGATGTCTTTATTTATGAAGCATGGAAAGTAATTGTGAGTCTACTCAGCAGTGCTTAATGAAAGCCAAGTGCTCACCAATTCCACATAATTGATTAATTCACACGGAATATAATGGTAAGGGATGCTGAGATCAGTGGGAGTTTTGTCTATCAGGTCTAGTAATACTAGACCCTCCAAAAGGTGGGATGGATGTGTTTGCCTTGGGCTTCCAGACGTCTTAATGAGTCCTAGGAAAACAACTGTCCCATCTTTTGTAAAATTCCTTCTACCTGTTCCTTTATCACTCCATTACCAAGGACACTCAAGTATTTACAAAGTTGATGCTTTTTACTCAGAATTTTGAGGTGGTGGCTTTGGGTTTATGTGGATTTTGGAGACTATATTTAGAGACATAATCAGTCACTCCTGCCCCTGCAATTCGATATGGAACTTAAGTATTTAAAGAAGTATTTCAAAAACATTCTCACTATTGTGTAGGTTAATATGTGAGATTTAGGTAAAAATAGTTATTTTTGACTTTTGGGGGGTTGGCACTTTAACTCCTCCTGAAAATACTATGCAGCACTATCCCAAACTGCAATCTGTGACTCTTGAAACAGATCTACATTCTCTAAGGGCTTTATTCCACTTTTTATAGTGGATGGCAAGAGAAATATTAACATTAGGAGGTAAAAGAAGCATCACAGACAAATAGACAAAGTAGTATACTGAGGAAGAAGAAAAAATATCAACTCACATAGGAGACAACTTCAACAAATTAGACTTTGCTATAGTAACATGTTAACAGTATTTCACATTCCAGTAAAAACAGGTATAGATGCTATCAATATTTTAGATAGCATCACTCATAACTTGGGACCACACATACCTGGCATCATAGCATCCTACACACATATGGCTACCACATGAAAGGAAAACAGGAGTTTATACATTTTTTTCCTTTCTGAAGGCTTTCTGTGAAATTGAATGCTTATAAAGTTATGTATAAAATCTAGAATCCCGAACGTAGATTCTGCAACTAAAGTTGTATGCTTTATTATTTCACAGCCATGGAAAATTATATTTATTTCACTGCAATTACGATTTTACTTCAGGAATTACTGTAGATGAACTGAAAACTCATCTAATTATAATGAAGATATTGGGGGAAACACTTACTGTATCTACGGCAGGGTCAAAGCAGTTTAAAGGTTAGATTTGGAAAAAGCACAACTTCTATAAAGCT